GCCCCTTATGCAGCTGAGAAGTGTACAGCTTGTATAACAGTGTAAATTTGATGTCCCCTTAAAATAAACTCAATACACATCCATTAATGTCTAAACAACTGGCAACAAAGTGAGCACACCCCTAAGTGAAAATGTCCAAATTGGTCCCAATTAGCCATTTTTGCTCCCCGGTGTCATGTGACTCATTAGTGTTACAAGGTCTCAGGTGTGAATGGGGAGCAGGTGTGTTAAATTTGGTGTTATCACTCTCACTCTCTCATACTGGTCACTGGAAGTTCAACATGGCACCTCATGGCAAAGAACTCTCTGAGGATCTGAAAAAAATATTTTTTGCTCTACATGAAGGTGGCCTAGACTATAAGAAAATTGCCAAGACTCTGAAACTGAGCTGTAGCACGGTGGCCAAGACCACGCAGAGGTTTAAAAGGACAGGTTCCACTCAGAACAGGCCTCGACATGGTCAACCAAAGAAGTTGAGTGCACGTGCTCAGCGTCATATCCAGAGGTTGTCTTTGGGAAATAGACATATGAGTGCTGCTAGCACCAGAGGTTGAAGGGGTGGGGGGGGGATCAGCCTGTCAGTGCTCAGACCATATGCTGCACACTGCATCAAATTGGTCTGCATGGCTGTTGTCCCAGAAGGAAGCCTCTTCTAAAGATGATGCACAAGAAAGCCTGCAAACAGTTTGCTGAAGACAAGCAGACTAAGGACATGGATTACTGGAACCATGTACTGTGGTCTGATGAGACCAAAATAAACTTATTTGGTTCAGATGGTGTCAAGAGTGTGTGGTGGCAACCAGGTGAGGAGTACAAAAACAAGTGTGTTTTGCCTACAGTCAAGCATGGTGGTAGGAGTGTCATGGTCTGGGGCTGCATGAGTGCTACCAGCACTGGGGAGCTACAGTTCATTGAGGGAACCATGAATGCCAACATATACTGTGACATACTGAAGCAGAGCATGATTCCCTCCCTTCGGAGACCGGGCCGCAGGGCAGTATTCCAACATGATAACGACCCCAAATACACCTCCAAGATGACCGCTGCCTTGCTTAAAGAAGCTGAGAGTAAAGGTGATGGACTGGCCAAGCATGTCTCCAGACCTAAACCCCGTTGAGCATCTGTGAGGCATCCTCAAATGGAAGGTGGAGGAGCATAAGGTCTCTAACATCCACCAGCTCCATGGTGTTATCATGGAGGAGTGGAAGAGGACTCCAGTGGCAACCTGTTCAGCTCTGGTGAACTATATGCCCAAGAGGGTTAAGGCAGTGCTGGAAATTAATGGTGGCCACACAAAATATAGACACTTTGGGCCCAATTTGGACATTTTTACTTAGGGGTGTACTCACTTTTGTTGCCAGCGGTTTAGACATTAATAGCTGAGTGTTGAGTTATTTTGAGGGGACAGCAAATTTACACCGTTATACAAGCTGTACACTCACTACTTTACATTGTAGCAAAGTGTCATTTCTTCAGTGTTGTCACATGAAAAGATATAGTAAAATATTTACAAAAATGTGAGGGGTGTACTCACTCCTGGGAGATACTGTATATATATAGTTTATATATATATATATATATATATATATATATATATATATATATATATATATATACACACTATGCTGCCAAAAGTATTGGGATGCCTGCCTTTACACATACATGAACTTTAATGGCATCCCAGTCTTAATCCATAGGGTTCAATATTGAGTTGGCCCACCCTTTGCAGGTATAACAGCTTCAACTCTTCTGGGAAGGCTGTCCACAAAGTTTAGGAGTGTGTCTATGGGAATGTTTGACCATTCTTCCAGATGCACAATCTCCCCTCTAATTCATCCCAAAGGTGTTCTATCTGGTTGAGGTCAGGATTCTGTGCAGGCTAATCAAGTTCCTCCACCCCAAACTTGCTCATCCATGTCTTTATGAACCTTGCTTTGTGTACTGGTGTGCAGTCATGTTGGAACAGGAAGGGGCCATCCCCAAACTGTTTCCGCAAAGTTGGAAGCATGAAATTGTCCAAAATGTCTTGGTATGCTGATGCCTTAAGAGTTCCCTTCACTGGAACTAAGGGATCAAGTCCAACCACTGAAAAACAACCCCACACCATAATCCCCCCTCCACAAAACTTTACACTTGGGACAATGCAGTCAGGCAAGTATCGTTCTCCTGGCAACCACCAAACCCAGACACGTCCATCTGATTGCTAGACAGAGAACGGTCCCCACTGTTCTAGAGTCTAGTAGTGGCGTGCTTTACACTACTGCATCAGACGCTTTGCATTGCACTTGGTGATGTAAGGCTTGGATACAGTTGATTGGCCATGGAAACCCATTCCATGATCCTCTCTATGCACTGTTATGCTAATCTGAAGGCCACATGAAGTTTGGAGGTATTGACTCTGCAGACAGTTGTTGACTTCTGCACACAGTGCGCTTCAGCATGTTTTTAAACGCATGTGTTTTTAGATAGGTTAATTTGGTTTTTGATAGTTGGCTAACTGGCTGACAGATTGAACTGGCTTTCCTTATCCCCCTCTACTGATAAGGTTGTACATATCCATGTTCCTTGCCGATAGTAGCCGTGATTAGATTGGGGTAGGCTGGCAAGTTGAACTGGATATCCTTAAGTTTTGAATTGCTCACATAGTGACGCCCCTCCATGTTCACTGTTTAATAAGCCAGTTATAGACTTGGGCATATGATCAGTTTTTTCAGCATGTGCTGACCCTGCTCTGTCATTTTATATGGCCTACCACTTCGTGGCTGAGTTGCTGTTGTTTCCAGTTGCTTCCACTTTGTTATAATACCACTAACAGTTGACCATGGAATATTTAACAGCAAGGAAATTTCATGGATGGACTAATTGCAAAGTTGACAACCTATCATAGTACTATGCTTCAATACACTGAGCTCCTGAGAGTGACCCATTCTTTAACAAATGTCCGTAGAAACAGTCTGCATGCCTAGACGCTTGATTTTATATGCCTGTGACCATGGAGGTGATTGGAACACCTGAATCCAATGATTTGGAGGGGTATCCAAATACTTTTGGCAATATTGTGTATGTATATTACACACACACACACATTTTTTACCTTGCATTTCCATTTTAAACTTAACTGACTGTTTTAACAAGTAATGGTTCACATATACAGTACTTTAATTCATGGTAAAATGTAAGAACGGACTAAAAATAATATCAACACACGAGGATAAGAAGGGAGATGAAATTTTTCTTTATAAGGGAACTGAACAATGAAAGTTGTTTCTGGAAGAAGGCAAAGGGCAAAGGAATAGCCAACAGCTTTATCTGCAGTTTCCCTGCAGCTGTTCTTTTCCCATTACTGACTTGTTCTGCACTGATTCACTGGGGTTGATTTACTCAAACTGGAGACTGCAAAATCTGGTGCAGCTCTGCATAGAAACCAACCAGCTTTAAGATTTTGTTGTCTAAGCTTGATTGAGCAAGCTGAAGTTAGAAGTTGATTGGCTACCATGCACAGCTGCACCAGATTCTGAGTGCTCCAGTTTTAGTAAACCTACCCCACTGTGTGGAAACAGCCATCTTGGTAGAGGGAGGCAGTGCTTTTCTTTTCCTCATCTAAGAGCCTTCAGAAAGCACAATGGGGCAGACTGTAGTTACATCACCAAATTTGATTCCAAATCTCCTGAAAATAGCAGTCAAAGACAGCAGTGCCTTAAATCTCACACTTCAGATATACAGCTTAGAGGCTGTAGATACATGTGTGCCTAGGTACATTCACATCAGAAAGTGCACTGCTATATTTCAGGTGGAATTCAAGACAAAAGGGCACTGCTAACATTTCTAGATGTTACCTAATACATTCTTCACTTTTTGAGTTCAGTTGTCCTTTAAAGACTGGTAATGGCTGCTCTGCTTTCATATTGATACAGATCATGACTTATGTAACCTGTTTTTACCTATAGTTTAGTTAGGTCATTACTAGCATTACTCCCCACATATAATTATCATGCTAAAAGGAAATTTTTTTAAAATAGAAGCTTTTTTTAACTCTTTTGTTGCCAGGAGTCCAAAAAGTTAGCACCTGAGGGTGCAAAAGCACTGATTTGTTTTACACTTATTTTCCTGTTAATCCATATAGCAATTAGCTGCTCCTGTATTTGGTTACAAATCTCTTATGTATACTTAATTGTTCGTAATTTGGCATTTATAGCAAGCACTGATACAGCACAGGCAGATTAACTGGTATGCATGCATGTGGTGTATTTTAATACATAAGTGGTAATCCAGTCCTCAGTATGGGTTGCATTTGGGTAGGACTCTGACCCACAGATCTATATCATTCCACCATGCTCTATAAAAGACCTGACCAAGGTTGTACCGCTTAGTATCTGTCTAGACCGTAGAGCACAATTATTGTGCAATAAATCCACATAATGAATGACCAATCTTTCAGCTATTCATTTGGAAAATATATCCTTTGTATGGTCTGAGGCTCTCTTGCAGAAGTAATATTCCATGATGATGTTCCTAGGCTAAAGCCGAGTAATAATTATTCTGCATTTAAGCAAAAAGAAATTGGTATATCAATATTCCCCTAAACACACATTAGAAGAAGGCACAAAGCTCATAGCTTTGGAAAATTCAGCATATAGTTGAAAAAATTGTGTGAGTTTTAAGGTGTTACTAAACCTACAACAGTAACATCTGTCTATATATGCAGTAAACACATGCATTTTATACTCACTGTGGAACCTAAGGGGTTAATCCTCTGCATTGTGTACAAAGGATGTTTGATCCTGACTTCTATGATTCTCCCCTTCTTCTTGTGTCCTCCTCTTATATCTTGATAAGACATATGGGGTAGAGACATTCTGCACATGCTCAATTTGTTGTGTATTGCTAGAGAGGTTTTTTTTTTTTGGGAGAGTGCATGTGATCAGCACAGGGCTAATCTACACTGTCCAGACAGAGGTCAGGGGGTTCTGTATCCTCCTAGAGCAGAAAGAAAACTCCTCCTACAAGCTTTAACATGTGCTCTGCTGAACACTGGTGGAAGCCACAAGACTGCTCTATCTTCTGATGAGAAAAGGTATTTAGCAGTTTATATTTACTAAAATAATTGCATTTCCATGTTGTGTGTACTGTGGGAGACCAGATATAGTGAATGCAGGGCCCTGGGTTTAGTAACACTTTAACTAGGGTTTTAAAGAACATACACTTTTCAAATCATTTTGGTGTTGATAACCATGTACACAGTCACCACTCACAGACATGGGGACATGACCTATAATTAGCTGAAAAAAGCTCAAGAGTAACAATTTAGTAAATAATTATCTTACTGAAAGAGCAGTGGCTGCTTGATATGCTTAAAGATAAAACATACAGGCATACCTCGGTTTACGAATTTAAAGCGTTCTCCAGGACGTTTCGTATTGTGAAAAATTCATAAAACGAAACGCTGTTTCCCATAGGAATGCGTTGAAAACCAAATAATCCGTTCCGGAGGTCAGAAAAAAGTAAAAAAAAAAGTCTTTTATATCTGTTCAAAACTCTTTATAAAGTGCACTTTAAAGGCATAAATACTATACAGGGACATGATTAAAAACAAATTTGTAAATACATTGAAAACCAAATTAATCCTTTACGGGGGTCAGAAAAAAGTAAAAAAAAAAGTATTTTATCTTTCAAAACTCTTTATAAAAGCGCACTTTAAAGGCACGGGGCCAGTACTATGTACCTCCCAGGTGCAATGCATTCTGGGAAAACTTGCTTCTTATTGTGAAAAAAATTAGTAAACCGAGGCATTATTTCAATGGATTTTCATTCGTTAACTGAAAATTAATTTAAAACCGTGGCGTTCGTAAACCGAAGTACACCTATATATCTATCCTGGGACAAAAATGATTTTTAGGAACAGCAAATTGGGTCTTTTCCTCTTATCAGTCTTCTTTGTTTCTATTAAAAGGACATAGCCCACGAGCAGGTCTTCAACTAGCAAATCAATGAGAGTTTGTGGTTTCATGCAGTAAGTGCAATCCCACTCCGGCTTCTGAATTACAGGGGGCCCCTTCATCTCACACCACCTTCAATCAGCCATTTAAAATGAGCCAACAATCATCAATTATTCCACCACCATAATTAGTTTCTTTTTTGACACAATGTAGTCCAGCCTTAGAAACTCTTCACTTCTTTTTGGTTTCAAGGTCTTTGCTGTGTGGTACAGGAAAAAGATGGACCTCCAAGCTTCATTGATAGCCTCCTTGTAGTTATTAATATTATTTATACATAATTTATATAGCGCCAACAGTTTGCGCAGCACTTGACAATGGGAGGGCAATCAATACAGTTACAATACAACTGAATACAGGGGGAATACAATAGGGCCCTGCTCATTAGAGCTTACAATCTAAAAATGGAGGGTCAAATGATACAAAAGGTAATTGTGGGGGATGGGCCAATGGAGAAAATATATGTATGGTTGTTCGGTGGAGACAGGATAGGCTTTTCTGAAGAGAAAAGTTTTCAGGGATCGCCTAAAAATGGCCAGAGTAGGAGATAGTTGGAAAGATTAGGGTAGGGAATTCCATAGGATGGGAGAGTCTCGGTGTTGTCTTATATTAATTAAATATTAAAATATGAAAAAATGCAGTTCGTCTGGTCCGCTATGAGTGCCAGCTTCACATACATGAATTTATTCAGATTTTATATATTTAATTATATCTATGATGTACACATTTTATATGCCTACACTCGGGAGAGTTAACCTCAAGCAGCTCCTCATTGACAAGGGTATGTCCATCTCTGTGCCACGCTCAATAACAACAAGTTCATTATTTTTATAATTACCCAAATAGATAAAAAAGGTAATGTAACTAATCCTGCATGAGATTTCTGTAGTCACTTCACTTAGGATATGATTGATGACTGCTTGTCACTGGAAATTGTACAATTTTATTGGACTTTGTACTCTAGATTGACAATGCCTCAAAAATAATGCTTAAAAGTGTATGTCAAGGGAAAATAAAAAAAAAACATATGTAGTACATCTCTGCAGTATATGCACATTTCCCCATTGTTTATCCATTTAAAGTCTCCGCTAGTGCAAGAAATTACCAATTGATCAGCCAGAAATGTACTCAGCTCCTAAATTTGACTTGTATTTTTACATATTTGTAGATATATTAGTTCAGCTTGGACCAATGAACTGTGTATATACTATACCTATGGGATCACAGTGAAAACTGGAAATCAATGCTGTAGGTACCAATACAACAGTGATCTCCACTAGCTCCTGGGACCTGTGCTCAGCTGCTGCCATGTTAATTGAATGCAGCAGGTCACCCACTCAGCACAGGCACCATTCATTGAGCACTTTGCTTTTTTTCCAGTGGATGCAAAGAGTTCTCTGATTGGAGGAAATGGAGACCAGGACATCAACACCCCACATCTTCGCTTCATCCAGTCAGAGACCACTTTGCATTTAATGAGAAGATGGAGAGTGTTCTCTGAATGGCACCCTGCCAAGCAGACAACTGCCTATGTTCACAAATCAGCTGAACAGCTGCTTAGATTAAAGTGTTACTAAACCCAGGCCCCTGCATCCACTATATCTGGTCTCCCACAGTACACAGAACATGGAAGTGCAATTATTTTAGTAAATATAAACTGATAAATACCTTTTCTCATCAGAAGTAAGAGCAGTCCAGTAGCTTCTATCAGTGTTCAGCCAAGCACTAGCTAAAGCTGGTAGGAGGAGTTTCCTTTCTGCTCTAGGAGGATGCAGAACCCCTGACCTCTGTCTGGACAGTGCTGATTGGCCCTGTACTGATCACATGTACTCTCCCAAGGAAAAAAAAAACCTCTCTAGCAATACACACCAAACTGAGCATGTGCAAAATGCCTACAGTTCAGTCTGTCTTATCAGGAGCTAAGAGGTGGTCGCTTGGAAAAAAAGGAGGAACAGAGAAGTCAGGATCAAATGGCATTTATACACAATGTGGAGGATTAACCCCTTAGGTACCACAGTGAGTGTAACAAGCATGTCTTACTGATTTTACTGTTGTGGGTTTCGTAACACTTTAAAACTCAGAAGCAAGTGGGGTTCTGTAAGGGGCCGCCTGGCGGTACCCACTAGCACTCCACTGAATAGGCGTCCCCAGCGCACGGAATCTAAGTCCCAGGGTGCTTGTTCACCAGGGCCCCTGATGGTGGGGATGGACTTGGAGCCCCCCGAGACCAGGTCGTGGCTACTGGGTGCGTCTGTCAGTGGTAGTGGTATGCGCCAAGGGCTCCCACGGGGAAGAGTCTGATATGAGGAGGTCAGAAGACCCCACTGCAAGGGATGGATGGATGGATGAGCAAGGTCAGACGGGCCGGGTCGGTAACAGAGAGGACGGCAAGGTACAAGGCAGTGGGCATAGAATGGTCGGGTCACACGCCAGGTCAGCAACAGCAGGTCAAATCCAATAAGGGGCATTCAGGAGAGAGGCCAGGCAAAACAAGGGTCAGAATAGGAGAAAGCAGCAAGGTTAGGTACAATCCGGGTCAAAAACTTACAGGGTACAGGCTCACAGGATACAGGATGCAGGGAAGACCAGAAGGCACTGAATGACAGCTCAGGGCCATTTAAATATCCCCGCCCTGCGCTGCCATTGGTGCCCAGCGGGCAGCCGCGGCTTCTACTGCGCATGCGCGAACTCGAACGCCGCGGCCGGCCTGGACCTAGTGCCCGTGTCCCTGCACAGGGCGGTGCACTGCGCCTGCGCCGGGACCATCGCGGCGGGGATCGAGGAGATCCCTGACATTGCCCCCCCCCCTACGGGCAACCTCCGGATGCCCACCCGATCTCTCCACCACGGGTGATCGCGAAAAAACCTCCGGACAAGTCTGGGTGCATGGACATTATGGGCTGGCTCCCAAGAATTGTCCTCAGGGCCATAGCCCTTCCATTTGATAAGGAATTGGGTCTGGCCTCCCCTCCTTCGACACTTCAGGATTGTTTCTACCTCAAATTCTTCTTCTCCCTCAACCGTTATGGCTTCCGGGGGTCTAGATTCCTGGTCAGGGAAGGCATCTGGGACTACTGGCTTCAGCAGGGACACATGGAAGACTGGGTGGATCTTGAGCGTGTCAGGAAGGACGAGTTCGTAGGCCACTTCGTTAACCATCCGTTTAATGCAGAAGGGGCCTATAAATTTGGGTCCCAATTTCTTCGACGGGCAAAGCATCTTTAAATTGGACGTCGCTAGCCAAACCTTCTCCCCAGGCCGCAACACCAGATCTCCCCTCCGTTTCCTGTTGAATGCCTTCCTGTAGTCTTCCTGGGCCCGACTGATGGCCTCTTGAAGCTTCTTATTGTTCGCGGAGAAAAAAACGTTACCACATCTTGCGTTGCTGGTACTGGGCATTCCGAGACCAAATCCGGGAGGAAGACTGGGTGAAAGCCATAGTTTGCAAAGAACGGGGACTGTCCCGTCGCTGAGTGGCGGGCGTTGTTGTACGCAAATTCCGCTAGGGGTAGAAGTGGCATCCAGTCATCTTGAGTAAACGAAGTGTAGCATCTTAAGTATTGCTCTAGGGTCTGATTGGTCCTTTCGGTTTGACCGTTAGTTTGAGGGTGGAACGCAGAGGAGAGGGACAATTTGATGTCCAGGGCTTTGCACAGTGCTCTCCAAAATCTTGACGTGAACTGGACCCCCCGGTCCGAGACAATGTCTTCGGGGACCCCATGCAGCCTTACTATCTCACGAATGAAGACTCGCGCAGTCTCGGCCGCCGAGGGGGTTTTCTTCAACGGGATGAAGTGGGCCATCTTGGACAAGCGGTCCACGACCACCAGGATTGCCGTGTGGTCTAGTGATGGCGGAAGCTCGACTATAAAGTCTAACGAGATCTTTTGCCAAGGCCGTTCAGGAATCGGTAAGGGTCGCAGCAGACCCCAAACTTTGTTTCTTGCTGGCTTGTTCTTTTGGCAGGTGATACAGGACCTTACATAGCCCTTACAATCTTTAGCCATGTCCGGCCACCAGAAGGAGCGTCGGAGAAGTTCCAGGGTCTTTTCTGGGCCAAAGTGCCCCGCCATCGGGTGGTCATGGCAATGCCCCAAGACCAGGGTTCGGGCTTCCTCCGGCACCACAATTTGATCTTCCCTCCATAGGAGTCCCCCCTTGTTCTGGAGCGGCCCTCCGCCTGGGGTAGAGATGGTTGTGGATGCCTCCATTAGCTTGGAACGAAGGTCCGACTAAAGGGCCAAGAAGTTACCCGAGGACAGGATGGTGTCGGGTACTGGGATCTCCTTGGCGTCCTCGTACATACGTGATAACGCATCTGGCTTAGTGTTCTTTGATCCAGGCCGGTACGTAATGTGGAAGTTGAATCTTGAAAAGAATAGTGCCCATCTTGCCTGTCGCGGGCGTAGACGCTTGGCGGTTCTCAGATATTCCAAGTTTTTGTGGTCAGTAAATATTAAGATGGGGTGCACCGCACCTTCCAGCAGGTACCTCCATTCCTCTAATGCCGTTTTGATCGCCAGTAGCTCTCGATCACCGATATCATAATTCTTCTCCGCTGGGGTAAGCTTCCGTGAGAAGAATGCTACAGGATGGAGCAGTTCCTTGGTGCCTTTCCGCTGGGAGAGGATGGAACCTACTGCATTCTCCGATGCATCCACTTCCAAGATATAGGGCAGGGCGGCGTCTGGGTGACCCAAAATGGGTGCAGAGGTGAACAGCTTCATCAAGGCTTCAAAAGCTTCTGCGCCTCTGGTGTCCATCTGAACCGGGTTCCCAGCTTGGTTAGCTGAGTAATGGGGGAGACCAGACCCGAGAAGTTCTTGATGAACTTCCGGTAAACCTTTGCAAAACCGATAAAATCGTTGGACGCCTTTCCTGTCCGTGGGTTCAGGCCAATCCAGTATTGCAGCGACTTTCTGGGGATCCATCCCGACCCCCGCGGTGGAGATAATCAGGCCCAAGAAGGCAATGCTGGATTGTTCAAAACAACATTTCTCTGCCATGGCGTACAACCCATGCTGCCGCAATCGCCCCAATACCCTTGCTACATGTATTTCTGTGTTCCCCAAAGAAGGGGAGAGAAAATCAGAATGTCGTCTAAATAAACGATAACAAAGACATCCAGAAAGTCCCAAAAATATCATTCACAAAGTGTTGAAACATGGCCGGAGCATTACACAACCCGAACGGCATGACCAAATATTCAAAATGGCCGAAGCGGGTGCGGAAGGCCGTCTTCCACTCGTCCCCCTCCCTTATGCGAATCAAGTTGTACGCCCCCCTCAAATCCAGCTTTGTAAAAACCACTGCTGTTTTTAAACTTTGGAACAACTCCGGTACTAACGGCAGTGGGTAACGGTTCTTTATCGTGACCCTGTTCAATTCCCTGTAATCGATACACGGCCTTAAGGTTTTGTCTTTCTTTTCAACAAAGAAAATTCCCGCCCCCGCCGGTGAAGTGGAGGGGCGGATGAACCCCTTCTGGAGGCTGTCCTCGATATATTCCTTTTAGGGCCCCCAATTCGAGCTCTGAAAGGGGGAAGATTCGCCCAAAAGGAATTTCTGAACCGGGTAACAGGTCAACGGGGACAGTCATAAGGGCGGTGGGGGGTAGAGTATCGGCTCCCCGTTTGCTGAACACATCTAGAAACTCATGGTAGGCTGCAGGGATTACTTGTTTTAATTCAGCTTCCCCCTCAGAGCACAGGAGGATTTGGGGGACCCCCGAGCCCGAAGTGCGGCAGTATACCCGACAGTATGGGGAAGGGAAAGAGATTACTCCGGTCTCCCAGTCAATCTGGGGGTTATGGGCCCGTAACCATGGGAGCCCCAGAATGACTGGGAAGAGGGGTGAAGCTATAGCATCCAGGCGGAGGAGTTCCTGGTGCTGGCCGGCAATGACAGTGGCGATGGAGGGGGTTTTCCTGGTTCACTACCCCCGATTTTATTCGGGAACCATCGGCCAAATAAATATTGAACCCCTTCTGTTTAAATTGGAGAGGAATAACCTGCTGGTGAGCAAAATTAATGTCCAAGAAGCAGCTGCATGCCCCCGAATCAACTATGGCCGATACTTCCACGGTCCTTTCTGGAAGCTGAAAGGAAAGGGGCACCACTAAGTATTGGGATGGACCAACATTGCCAATGGATAAGGAAGAAGAGGTGCACTTACTCAGTTTCTGCGGGCAGGATCGTACCATATGACCAGCTTCACCACAGTAGAGGCACAGGTTCTGGGATCGTCTGCGCTGATGTTCCTCTGGAGATAGTTTAGGCCGTGCCAGGCCGAGTTGCATGGGTTCAGGGATATCTCCGGGTGGCCGGTTCTGGATGTTTGGCCTAGGTGCTTGACTGGGACCTTGAAATGACCCCCCAGGGATTTCCATGACCCTGGCCGGACCTCTCAAACCTGCGTTCCCGCAGTCTACGGTCAATTTTAATGGTCAGTGCTATTAAGTCCTCTAAAGTCTCAGGCACCTCCACCCGGGCGAGCTCATCTTTCAGGCCTTCTGATAGGCCTATACGGAACTGATGATGCAGGAGTGCGAACTCGTTCCAGCGTGTGTCCCCCATCCAGCGCCTAAACTCAGACACGTACTCCTCCGCCGCCGCTCGGCGGTCTTGCCGGAGCGTGTACAAAGTAGCTTCAGCAGAAGCTGCCCGCTGTGGGTCATCATATAGGATGGCCATTGCGTCAAAAAAATTGTCAACCGAACTAAGGTGAGGGTCATTTTTTCCCCGTAATCGGTGGGCCCAGTCTTGGGGTTCACCCTGCAGGAGGGAGATGACGAACCCCACCTTCACGGATTCAGTCATGAAGGTCCGGGGTTGTAACTCAAAATAGAGAAGACAGGACTCACGGAATGACCTGAAGCGTGTGCGGCCCCCGTGAAAACGTTCCGGTAAGGGTACTCGGGGTTCGGCCGCCGGGAGTGGTGCGGATGCCCCAGAAACCGGCACAGCAGGCTGCTACGGCTGGGGGTGTGGGGGACCGCGGCCTGTGGGGCAGGAACGGATATAGTGCAGGTCTGGAATTGGGTTTCAATCTGCTGACATCTATCCTGCAGGGCCGATACGGCCTGTGTCAAATTAGACAGGTGCCTGCAGATCTCCTCAAGCGGCGAGGGCCCTCCTCTAGACTCAGTCATGGCCTTCTGGTACTGTAAGGGACCACCTGGCGGTACCACTAGCACTCCACTGAATAGGCGACCCCAGCGCACGGAATCTAAGTCCCAGGGTGCTTGTTCACCAGGGCCCCTGATGGTGGGGATGGACTTGGAGCCCCCCGAGACCAGGTCGTGGCTACTGGGTGCATCTGTCAGTGGTAGTGGTATGCGCCAAGGGCTCCCACGGGGAAGAGTCTGATATGAGGAGGTCAGAAGACCCCACTGCAAGGGATGGATGGATGGATGGATGAGCAAGG